CCTCAAGGAATCAGGCGCCAGGGCGTCGCTCGTTGCTAAATGCAAAGAGCCATCACTAGAACTCCAGAGACTCAGATAGGATAGCAACATCGTCAGCAAAGTTGACCTTGATATTGGCCAGTGTTGTCTAACAGACTCTGGATTTGAAATTTACCTATTACCCAGTCCATGCAACTGTTAGAAAGTGTTGGTGCGAAAACAGTCCTGTGTCACTTGACGTACATGGAAGAAGCTAGATAGGCCCCACCACACTTTACGACACTTTTAGTGCCAGTTTACAGGCTTGCTATTAGTCCAGTAATCTTTGTCGGAAGTATTAGGATCATCCAAAGCAGTTAACTATGTACTGAATCAAATGCCTTGATAAGATCAATATAGGCAGCAATCACCCTACAACCAAACTCACGACAGAATACCACAATCACTCGAAGCACTAGGCTACGGTCAATTTTGGACTTGCCAGGAGTGAATCCAGATTGTTCCTTTCTCAGATACCTTAGTAGGTGGTGTCTGATGTGTCTCAGAACAATACGAGCAAGAACCTTGCCTAGTATGAAGAGCAATGTAATGCCACAGTAGTTGCTGGTCCCTCGATCCCCTTTTGCCTTTTAGAGAGGGATGTCCACACCCCTCCTTAGGTCCAGGGGAAAGGAACCAGACTGCCAAATAGCAGCCAGGGCAGCATGCAATCCCCACGCCATAGGTTTACCACAAGCCTTTAGCAGGTAAGTAGGGATAATGCAAATGCTTGCTGGTTTACAACCCTTGATCTGGCACACACCATTTATGTCTAATCTAACTATTGAAGGGTCAGCCCAATTCAGCTGCTCAGAATACTCGGATCAACAGATTGCCAGTTCCCAAGGCCTGGAGTTCAGCAGTCTTAGAACTTTGTAGGCAGGAAGGTCATTCACTAAGGAAATGGCCAAGGAATGGTGCTAATCCCGATCAACATCCAGCACCACCCTCTAGGATCTCCTGCAAGATGAAATTCTATTGTACTATCGGACGTTCGCCAATGGACTCGAGACAGTCAAGTAGTGTACTACGAGAGAACCATAGCAAACCTCTGGGGACACTCCGCCTTCTTCAATCTAAGTGAAATCCCTAGGTTGGACACTGAACAGATGGGGAGTTCTGAGGTAGACCCAAAGGTAGTCATGGCCACTCTATGGCCTGCACCACAAAACTCGACACCCTGATAAACCCTGCAGTTCTGGAGGATCCTCCAGGGAGTGCTAATAAGGTTGCGGTCAATCCCTTGGCCTACACTCGAATCATATCTAGAGTACTGATACCAGGAGCCAGAACTCCTCAGTCTCTATAACATAGCAAATTCACAACTGGATGCCGCAATCAAATCTCACAGGACAATGTAATTTCCATGTTGGGGACAATTGTCTTCTACAGGTGTGAATTTGCATATTGAGTATTGAGTATACAAACATGTTGGAGCTTACACAACAATAGGAGTCTCAATGTAATCACATGCTCATCTACTTGAGTCTGCAATGAAGTCTGCTGGAGATGCCTATGGCTGCTCTATGGAGATGGTGGCCATCGCTCTGGCCTGATTGGTAGTGGGTGTAATCACCCACCAATCGTGCCGCTGCCAGGTCTTCTTACCTTCGTCCAGATAGATATCACTTTTCCTACCCCGTGGCCCAGATAATAGGAGAGGCCCTAGCCATTTCCTCGCAACTCAGAAATACCATGATCAGCTTCTTGCCACTCGTTTCCAACACAGACACAGGAAAATGACAGACATTGTTGCCTAAAGCCCCATTGACATAGTAAATGATACTGACAAAGACCCCTATGACCAGCTTCAGCAACACGTTCAGGAAGCCCCACTACATGACAGTTATAACCCTCACTGATGCAAATGCCAGACATCAACGACCCAACCCTTGCACCAGTCACAGACCCAAGTAATAATGACAATGATATCTGCTTAGCTGATCCGTGCAGACCAACCAGCCTATCTATCTGTTGCACATGGTTCCCCCACTAGAGAATCCACCATTGGACGTGGTACAACCCAGACGGTAAAAAGACCTTAGACATCCTGATTTCATCCCACTGGAAATCATCCATAACTCTCTGTCGAGTCTTTAGAGGGCCCAACTGGGTAATGCTGACCATCGAAACAGACATTAAGCTCAAACCTAAAGTCCTACCACTGGTTAAAAAAAAAAAAAAAAAACTGTCAATATAGACTCTGTAAGCTTCAAATACCCTGTCATCTAGCAGTCATTCACATGTTCTATCTCAAACCGGTACACTGCACTTGCTGACGAGCTACTTTTTGACTGGAATCACTTTCGAAAGCAAGTGGTTCAAGCAGCTAGAGAAACAGCGGGATTAAAAAGACCTCCAGAACGACCATGAATATCAAGGCCACACTTTTTGACCAGCGGCGAGAAGCACGCCTCCGTGGCGAGCAAGATCAGTGGCGCCGCCTCATTGGATTGAAAAATGCTGCCATCCGGCTTGACTGAGAGAATTTCCGGGTAACACAGGCCGCAGACCTCATGGCTTCCCCATATAATTACTCCGGTCTAGATAAGTGAGAGGCTTCCAGACGACTGGCGACAAGGGATCACCATCCCATTTAGGAAGAGAAAAGGAATAAGCTAGTCTGCAACAATGACAGAGGTATCACATTGCTCTCCATCCATTTTACTCACCCGAGCATTACCTGTCATAAGAAGCCAACGCCGCTCTCAACAAGCAGGTTTTATACCCAATAGATCCACAATAGACCATAAATCAGCCCTTCGTTTGATAGAGAAAGCCAAAGAATTTAGGAAGGATCGTCATCTTTATATTGCCTCCATCGATCTGAAGGCTGCACTGGAGAACACTCAAAACTCTGGGAGCCCCACCTATAATCGTCACTCTTCCATCAATTGTATGATGATGCTGAGTGAGGGTAAATGGAACTGTTAGGCAAGGATGTGTAGCAGCCCCAGTTTTCAGCTCAGTCATTGACCATCTCATGACACAGATTTGCTTGCAAATCCCTGACATATCTTTTGGCGACTATGCTCTCACTGATTTAGAGTATGCAAACGACACCTTTTTCAGCAAAACAGTTGACAACATGAGGGACGCCCTAACTATCTTTGATGCAGAGGCCAAGAACCTCGGGCTCAGCATCAACTGGACCAAGACAGAGTTGATGCAAGTCGGGAATGATCCCGATCCCACGCCACAGGTGTGCAACATCTCATTGAAATTTGTTGACTCTGATATAACCAAGACAGATGATCCTAAATCCGAAATTAATAGACGAAGAGCACTTGCAACTTCAATAATACAATCACTGCGGAGACCCCTGTGGAAACACCACCACATCTCCAGGCATGTCGAGCTACGCATCTATAATGCTAGTATCCTCTGCGTCCTGCTCTATGGTTCAGAGGCCTGACCGCTCACAAAGACCACGGCGGACAGAATAGACGGCTTTGATATCAGTCCTCAGAACAACTGGGGGTATTAAATGGTTCCATCGTCACCAATGAGACCCGTAGAGCGCAAACCTAGCAACCTCCTGCCGTCAACCTTGCAGCAATGCACAGGATCCGGTGGTTGAGCCACGTCCTTCATCCCCCACGGCCTAGAGAACTCCCCCCCCCCAGCCGCTGTCTCGACGTCATCAAAGACCTCAGGCTATGCAATGTGACTTGAGCAATCACACCACATTGCATTGGAGGTCTGGTTGGCTCTACGCACTTACAAGTGCAAGAGGAATATGAAAAATGAAATGTTGCCCAACATAAAGGGGGGAAGCGGACTGTGGGGCCCATTGTCCGGTTGTGGGGTTCCCTTAGGCCTCACACTGGGTTTGCGGGAAGAGTGACCCCCGCTCCCAACCTGCTCCCCAGCAGTCGCGTTCCCAACAGGAGCCACAGCCTACCTCACTTGCTTATTGGGAGCGGTAGTAGCCCTGCTCCCAATATTACCATTACCACCAGTCCACTTCCCTAGAACCGCCTCATAACCCTTGAGGGCTCAGGGCAGGAGTTGGTACAACGCTGGTGGACAATAACTCCATATCTCGAGATCCTCCACAGCATCGTTAAGGATCGCAAGGTACTCAGTTTCTACGAGGGGGGGGGCGATGAGGCACTGTAGAAGTCTTGATGAGGGAGGCTATAAGCTACCAGGAGAAGCTTTACTCAGAGCTGCTCTCATTTTCGTACTGGAGCTTGGAAATGCGAGTAATAAAAATATTGAAAACAAGCCAAATTGTTGTAGCGCAAACTGTTGATAAGATATCGAAAAAAACACCAAATGCTTTAGTTCAACAGCTCTTTATAATTATAATTATTAATACAAAAGAGCGTGTTGTATTGTACACAGCATGCACCAAAAAAAAACAAAATGTATTACACACACACACACACACACACACACACACACACACACACACACACACACACACACACACACACACACACATATATATATATATATATAATATATATATAATATATAATATATATATTAATGTGTATATGTATGTATATATAATGTTATATATGTAATATATATATATGTGTGTGTGTGTGTGTGTGTGTGTGTGTGTGTGTGTGTGTGTGTGTGGTGTGTGTGTGTGTGTGTGTGCTGTGTAACTGTATATATGTATGTATATTATGTATGTATGTATATATGCAATGTATGTATGTATAATGTATATATGTATATATATTACATAATTGAATAAAACATTTTCAGAAATAATCATCCATGACGTCAGAGTTGCCTAGCCAATCAGAGGGTTTGTTATTGTCGCTTATCCGAAACTTTGAAAACGTTGTCCCTTCAAGCTGATATTCAATATATTTTACCAAAAATACGCTTTATATTACTAAAAGGTTACATGAATTCAGAATATATTTCTCCAGAAAATATGTACCAACTCAAAATTGCAAGCATAAGCTCAGGTTTTAATACTTATAACTGAATCGTAGCCACCATGATACCTTTACGACATTTGTGTACTTGTTTGACTACCAAGCGGAATGACGGATCCAAATCTTCATTTTCGCCGTAAAATTGGTTCCGAAGAATTTGGCATTGCAATATGCACATGAACACCTGTAAGTAACTCTGAATGATATGCTATACAAAACGAAGGAAGTGATTCAAAAATAGTTGTGATCAATAACCTCTTCCACAGTTGCAGTGTGTAGAGCATATTATTTTACAGATGCTTTTGGGACTTGTCACTGAGATTCTTGTGACAGTTGCAGGAAAAGGTGTGATGAATAACTTCACAATGCAAAGTATGGAAAGCGAAGTTGTTTATTTTTATTTGTACCCTTTAATACCCATAGTAATTACAGGTCTCACTGACGTATCTCAGGAGATGATATTATCCCCCCAATAGGTGGGGAAGGGGCGTTATTGCAGCTTTTTCTAGGGGGCGAAGGGAGGGTAGATGGGCCAAGTGAACAAAGGTTTTGAAAAATTAGCTATTCTAGGGTCAATTTTATACTATGACCAAACCTACATAGGTGTAATTTAGTTTTTAAAAAGTTAAAGCTAGACCTTGACTAAATGACATAAATGACATGTTAGAAGGATAGATACAAAGACCACTTTTTTCTCTGGTGATATTTTTGTAAATGCCCAAATAAGGTACTTCATCAAAGTTTCATATAAAAAAGTGTAAATTATTTAAAGAAAATTAAACCAAAAAAAAAAAAAAAAAGATCCACAGCTCTTTATGAGGAGTTCAAGTAAACATGCATTTTACCTCAGCTTCTTGTGCATAACCAGCATTTAGTTATTCCATCATAATGATGGTCTCTGGGAGTTGGTATTAAAAGACATGCAGTGGTAGTTCACACATAGATATGATATATATTATATTATATATGTATATATATATATATATATATATACATATATATATATATACAATACATACATACATATATACATACATACATATATTATATATATATATATATATATTATATACATATATATATATATATATATATATATATATATATATATATATATATATATATATATATATATATATTATATATATATATATATATATATTACTATATGTATATATATTATATATATATATATATATATATATATATATAATATATATATATGTATATACATATATATATATATATATATATACATATACATACATATATACATATATATATATATATACATATATATATAATATATATACATATATATATATATATACATACATACATACATACACATACATACATACATACATACATACACATACATACATACATATACATACATACATACATACATATACATACATACATACATACATACATACATATATATATAGTATATATATATATATTATATATATATATATATAATATGTGTGTGTGTGTGTATGTATATATATACATATATATATTTTTTTTCTGTGTCTTATGTTGATGCAGTTCTCCACTGAATGACTATTATTGCAATTATCAGACTTGCATTAGTGTTCTCATAACATGGTTTACTAGGCCTAAGAAACAGTTCATTGATATATCCCATTAATCCCTACTCTGACGGAAATTGTTTAGTCCAGGAAAGTAATATTTTTTGGCAAAGCTCACTCTAAATTTGTTTTCAGATGTGACCCATTATCATAACTAAACAGACTTCAGCTCCTTAAGAATTTACAACATGCCGCAGAAGTCTCAACATCAGGTAAGAAATTTCCATTGTGCGTCAATATGAAGCATTCTTAAGCAAAGACAATCATTCAAATATGTTCAATCATAGTGAATGGTGAAGCTAACTGATTGTGTCTACTTACAGACTTTTCAGTAGTATTATTAATCAGTTTATTACTGTGTTTAAAACTACTCTCATCTGTGTGAAAGAGGTTTTCATATTTAATCAACAATTAATCATGAAAACTGTATTAAAGGAGGGTAATACAGACACAAAGCCTAAAGAAAATATGTACTTAGACCCTTAGATAATTCTTAAGAAAGAAGCAAGCTGTCAAGCCCTCTGGTAATGAAATAAAAGTGATAACATTTATTATTTTTCTCTTTCAGTTTTTGTAAAGTCAATTCATGTGTATGAAAACTAGCTGTTATCTTTCAGGATAGTAATGAACCTGATAAATCAAATGCGGACATTGCTTCAGTCTTCATCACAGTTAAGGATGGTAAGTTGCCTTAATATTGTGTGGATGCTAAAGACAGAGGTGCCAGTTATTATGATTTTGGATGTAATCATTATGATTTTCAGTCTGTACTAGAAGAATTTACAATAATATGCAAACTAGTGTGATGCTTTTACTTTTTTCATGTTTTGAAGTGCTTTTCTTGTTGCATTACAACTTATGATTAGGTGCAAAAATTTACACATACCTAGGAGAAGCACTTTTTTCCAGAAAGCAAGTATACAAAAATTACCCAATAATATTGATTCTGAAGCACTGGTCAAACACTAAAGGCTAATGGGTTAAATTGCAGTGAACTGGTGGCTCTGGTCAACTGAATGTCAAGTTTTATTACTATTAATATCACTAAAGTAATGATAGAATATAATTTATTTCATGTGGAGTACCACATTTATAGGAGATTTATTAGAGATATAAAGTAATGGCTATACTTATGGGTGACCATTTCAACATAGGTCTTCCCCTGTGCAAACAAAACCTGTATATATTGATATGAATTTTGTATTACTTAATCCTAACAGCTAAACTAGGAATACAAATATTTCAAGAAAGGTCGGAGAATTTTTTTAAACAACATTTGCACTGAGTTTAAAATACCACTTCACAAACCATCACAGAATTGTCTTTGAAACTTACTCTTTATAATAAGACTAGATGAAACCTGGTTTGGTTGTTCTGTTCAGCTTCATATTACAATAACAAGAGTATTTTGGTTATACATTTGTCACTAAGCTCTTATGATTTATTTGTTGCCTTACTTGAAGATGTTGACTTTCTGGATATTGGTATTGATCATTATGATACAAATGAGGAAATACTATTTAATGATACTCTTTGAATAGTCAATATATATGAACAGTTTCTTGCATTTTTTTTGTGCTATGATGTGATATTATAGAAGATAGTGGTAGCATAATAGATTTCAAAGACTGGAAAAATATGATTTTATTTAAAGAAATAAAGAGAATTATAAATGAATTAGGAAATAACTGTATAAGTTTTGAAAGTCAACATTTATATATAGAAAATAGAAGAAAAATTAGATGAATAAAGAAGTGATTAAGAATTTAAGTTATGATTCTTATTTTTATTTTGTGATGCATGCCATCATTAGAAAGTGTCATTAAGAAAGGCTGACACCTCTGTAAATAATTTGGGGATAAAAGAAAAACAAATACATAAGCCTTTGCTTTTTTTTTCCTTAACTGTAAAAAAAAAAAAAAAATTATTATTGTTACTACTATATATATCAATTCTTAATACTCCATTTATTACTTATGCAATAAATTTATAATTTGTTCACTGATTCCAGAGCCTTTTGATGACTGGAGAGATATTAACGATTATAATAGAGATACCAACCCCATGCACGTCAAGAATGAATCAAGTGATCTGCATGGCGATGCATTTTATAAGCCAGTAAGTGTGTATGGTACAGTTGATGAACCCAGAAGAGCTTTGACCAGCATATCTGAAGTAGTATTTTGGAATGACTTGTTTTGTCAATAATGCTGGTCGTGTATCTGTTGTGATGCAAAATCTTATAAGGGACATTTATGTGTGTGTGTGTGTGTGTGTGTGCGTTTACTATTATGATTAATCTTAAGATATTTGTTGTAATGTGATACTTAGCTCTTTGGTAACTTCTGAATATAGATGTTGAAATGCGTAAGGATGCAGAAAATATAACCAACTCAAAATTTGCAAAAGTAGTTTTAACCCTGTTTCATTTTATGAATTTAGTAGACTTACTTAACCTTATCTGATTGCCGCATTCCTAGAAATTTTGGGAAATATATATATATTTCTTAAATACTGTTGTGGCTGTTCTGCTATTATTGTTAACATTGCTACTTTGTAATATTTTTTACAGTATTAATAATAATATACTTTTTTTTAGTATCTCAAAAAATCAAGGAAAGAGTAAACAGGTGTGATTAGATAGGCTTAGGAAATGGCTCTTTGGTGTCTAAGCACTTCTGGAGTCATTAGTGTGCAAACAAAATTAATAAACTAAAAGTAACAGCCACTTGCGTGTGCGAGTAGATTAAGGGGAGACGAATCCCTAAAGACAATATTGGCAAACAGGTTGATGTTATTTTATTGGAAAACCCATATACATTTCATTTGAGTACGTATATCGTGGAGGATGCCTCTCTCCTCTTTCACTCCGCATCCAGCCTAAATCACTAAACTAATGAAAATTTATTTCTGCACTTTGTCTGAAGTTCACTGGCTCAGGTTCTTTTGGGTTCAGGTTTTTGATTGCACTATACTTTTTCATTCAATTATATATGAATTATGTCTGCTTTGTGGAAGTTCTTAATTTGGCATTTAGTAAAAAGACGGAATGTATAAAGATTTTTTTCCTACCATACAAAGCTGTCTTTTCACATATAAAATACCCACAGAGATATGAAAGCTATGATAGTTGTCTATAGAAATATTTCGGCAAAATGTAGCTTAAAGAGGCATTCTTGCTTAATGGGGTAGGTACATTCAAGTGTTGCCCCTTAAGGAATGTTTCATTTTGGAAAAAATATATATTTATATTGTGTGGATTATGATCATGTAATTTTAATATCCTACTTTTGGGGGCTGTCCTAAAGATTTTTTTTATATAACTCCAAGTAGAGAAGACAAAGAATACATACATGCTTGAAAAATGAGAGTTCAAATATAAGTTGTAATTTTCTAAATTAATAATTGTTTTGTTTTCACACAAATACCACATCCCCACTTAACCATGAAGCACGCTTCTATTGAATAACTGTATTCAGACTTATCAGGAAATGAGAAAAATAACCAATATCTCTTCAGAAAATGCTAACAAAAGGACAAAGAACTTTAAGTAGAAATTTCCATCAAGATGTCTACAGTTTCATCACCTTTCTAATGGTATAGCTATACAAATGAAGAACACATGAAATTGAAACATACACTGAGAATTTTATAGATTGTTATTTATTTTTATGAGTGGAGTGCCTCAAAAACTTGGGTCTCAAAAAAAAAAAAAAAAAAAAAAAAATAATAATATGCCCACAGTATATAAAAGAATATTGTAAATCTGTATTGCTGTATATTTCATAGTGATTTTATCAGATATATCCATCCTTCAATCTGTTGATAGAATGGTATTTTGAGGGTTCTGACATTCGTGTTCATTGAACAATCCTCCAAGGAATGTGGCACAAATAAATAACTGGACCTTTTAACTTGCAGTAGTTAGATAGAAATATTGTATTTAACTGCAGTGAATATCAGGTATAGTGTTCATACATATGGAATAGTATGGAAGAAGTTTCACTTACATTAACACTAAACAAGAATATACCAGAGATCCCTCCCGCCCCCATTTGTTAATGTATTATCTTTTTAATTACTTTGACTCCAGTGACTACACCATCATCCATCTTGCAAGGAGTTCAGCCCCTATCCAGGGAATTTCCCCCTCATGTGTCCCCTGGTTAAGAACTGTAATAAATATTTCAGAAGATACAATTATTGTGAATTTCATCAGTATTTGAGAAGTTTGATTAACATTCATTTGTTGAAGTGAATCAGTTCTTTACATGTGGAGAGCCTTTGTTAGATATGAGCACAGACAATAAGATAAACAAAGTGAATGAGATGAGGCAGTGCTTAGCCTTCACTTTCCATAGGATATTGTGTTTGGAAATACTATATGAAAGTTTGTAGGTGTATTGGAGACAATTATAAAAAAAAAAAAAAAAAAAAAAAAAGATACTAATAGGTTATAATGAGGGCACATACCTTTTAAATAGTATGGAGTATATTCACATGTCCAAAAAGGAAATATCATGTACAACTATTTAGAATTGTGCTAATTAGTTAATTCACTTTCTATAGTGATATTCCTTTAAAAATTTTCCAAGCTTCTCATGTAATATCATGATTCAATAGGTAAGGTCATATTGTATATTAAGTTCTGCGTTTCTCATCATGTTGTTTTGATTAATGATCTGGAAATTGCAGGCTATACCGCAACACATTGATGTACCAGCGACACTCCTGTCCACTGCTAGTGAGCAGCCCACTGTGATGGATCCCAGTCGTTGCAGTGCTGTAAATTTGGATACTCCACAGTCTCCAGAGTCTTGCATCCACTCTGCTCCATCATCCCTTGTGGCTAGATCCCCTGGCCATGCCAAACGTCCCACTTTGCCCATAGACTCTTATCTTTTAAAAGAAAAACAAAGGAGATTGGATACATCTACTGAAATAACTCATCAGTTAGATTTGCATGATGATGGCTTTGATTTCTTAGAGGATGAACATAACACTAGTGATTGTATGCCAAGTGATACAGATGATGCTGTTGACGAGGATGTGCACAGTGATGAGGAAGTTGATCCTACCTCACTCCCTTGGGAAGGAATAATGGAAACATTTTCGTGGAGAGCTGGGGATAATTGTCAACCCGATTTTCCAGAGTACGGTGGAGATGAAGTTGGGGTTACATCTGCTTTTCCAGTTGTTAATGATAATGCCAGGGAAATTGACTATTTCCAGGCATTTTTTGATAGTGCTTTTATGGATTTTCTGTGTGAACGAACAAACATGTCCCAGAAGTACAAACATGATCGTGACCCTACACCGAGCTCAGGGAAAATGCAAAGATGGCATGATACAAGTGTAGGAGAATTATATGTATTTTTTGCACTGTTGATGCTGATGGGACATATACGTAAGCATGTGTTGAAAGAATATTGGATACTAAATGATATCACAGCCACGCCAGTATTTGCAAAATATATGCCCAGGGACAGGTTTTTGTCCTTACTAAGATTCCTCCATTTTGCTGACAACAGTCATCCAAATGGTGATGATAGATTTTGGGAAATTCGCGAATGCTTTACAATGCTGAAAGAAAGATTTGCAAAATTTTTCCATCCCTTTCAACGTCTTGTATTGGATGGTTCATTTACACTTATTCGTGGTCGTTTAGCCTTCAGACAGTATATTCCTAGTAGGAGGCATAGATCTGATACAAAAATTTTTGTTCTTTATGACTGTGAAACAGGATATGTGCTGGATATGATGTTATGCACTGCAGGTGATGCTGACCACAAGAATGACTCGCATGGATTCTCTGCTGAGATGGTGAAGAAAATGATGGATCGTTATCTAGGTGGGAAGCATATCCTTTACACAGATGATTATAAGACCACCCCAAGCCTCACAGAATTCCTTCTTGAAAAAAACAGGTCATGTGGCCCAGTAGCTACTGAGAAGGAACAGCAGCAAGAGTTTGCAAAAGTTATTCATGGTGAAGGTCAACTGCAAAAAGCTAACAAGATGCTTGCTATATGTAGACAGGACAAACACGCAGTAAATATACAAGCTATTAATCACAATAGTGGTAAGATGGACAAAGGGAAGCCTGTTATGAAACCTGAAACTGCATTGGATTATGGTGTACGAATTTGCCAGGTTGACAAAAGCGATTTGATGGTTGGCAGTATTGAGTGTGTTCGTCGTACTGTGAAATGGTACAAAAGAATGTTTTTACATCTAATGGACATCACAGTCCTCAATTCATATAACTTATATGTGGTGAAAACTAGCAAGAAGGTATCGCTTAGGATCTTCAGCAAAAGACTCATTGAACAGATTTTGGAAACATATGGCGTGGTGCAAAGGAGGGCAAGAGGTCACTCACAAGCCGGCCTTCCTGATAGACTCCTTGGTCGAGATTATATTTCCCGTCATTTCCTAGAAGCTCTGCCACCCACTGCTGGGAAACCTAAGGCACAAAGACAATGTCACGTTTGCAAAAATACGACAAAGCGAGCTGGCCGGCGCAAAGATGTCACAACATGGTGTAAAGAATGTGGTGTAGCATTGTGCATAAGTTGTTTCAAGGATTACCATACACTAAAAATATACTAAGGTGTAATGTAACGGTCTATGCAAAGTGTGTGTTGGAATACAAAATACCAACACAATAACAAACTTAAAAAAAGGTTCCCTCACCACCTGTGATGAATAGCCTACAACTACCTTTGCCACAGATGAAGAAATGAGAACCACTTGAGCTCTCATATTAATGCACTGAGTACCACTTGAGCCTGCCACAAACCCATGTTATCCCATGCGCTGATGGATGATAGTAAGTACATGCATTTCTTTCTTTTTCATAACATACTCTGATATATATTTGTAAGGTGTAAATACTTTCCAGGCTATTTTATATTTGTTGAATTACATGTGCTTGTAAGTTATGTGGAATTTTTTTGCTATTAGAAGAGGACGCCATGTAACTTTGGTTAACCTTGTGTGTTTAATTTGATGCCATGGCTTTTTACAGTGACAAAAATATTATCCAGATCTTAATGTGACACCATGGCTTTTAGGACAAAAATATTATCCAGATCATAATGTGACTCCATGCTTTCTACAGTGACAAAAATATTATCCAGATCATAATTTGACTCCATGCTTTCTACACCGACAAAAATATTATCCAGAGCTAAACATAATCTAACGCTTACATCAGATTTATGGCTTGATAAACAAAAACATCTTATCCATGGATGAGGACAATACAAAGAAGACAATACAAAGAAGAAGGGGGAGAGAGAGAGAGAGCGAGAATGAGAGTGAGAGTGAGAGTGTGAGTGTGAGTGTGAGTGTGAGTGAGAGTGTGAGTGTGAGTGAGGGTGTGAGTGTGAGAGTGAGAGAGAGCTGATACATTCAACTACCACCTGGTATGACCATCCTAGAGAGCAAAATAACCAAAGCACGAAACATTAAGTTCATCACATCAATATAATCCATTATCATCACACTACCCCATGACATACAAAATATAACCCAATCCATTAACAGCATGTGGGGTGCGAAAGGGTAATAAAATAGCAGGGCAATAAACTTTCCTCCCACAGTCGCTATGTTATATAATTTCTACACATTGTTTATCATTGTTGCTGCTTGAATGATCTACTGTTTACTTCATTTTATTATGAGAGTAATAGGTAGCATTCCTGAGTTAATGTGGGTGGTGTTGCCAAATATAAGACATCACTACTGCACACTTTCCTTTTATGTTGCAGTTGTGGGTTGATACTATTTTGTATGTTTTTCATATAAATATATTTAATTCAAGAGAAAATTATCATGAGGAATTACTTTTCATGGCTGTTTCAGTTTGGCAGGAAATGGAAAAATTGAAATGTGCAGATTTACAAGATGTCTTCATAATGCTCATTTCTTAGCCCTTTGGGGATAAAATGGTTATATTATGTAGTAATACTAAAATGCTGTTATTTTTCAGGCTGAAGATCAAGTCAGGCTGGGAAACGTGAAGAATGCAAAAATAAATACTATAAGTGTTTATTTGTGTATGAAGCTATTGTATTTTCTACAAGTACTGGAGTATGTAAATAAATCATATTTTTAATAAGCACTTTAGTTTTCCAATTGCCATTTTATATGTCCATTTTTTTTTTTTTTTTTTTTTTTATGTTACAAACAGATGGCTCCACAAGTTCCCAGCCACCAAGAAGTAAACATGACTTCCCCATTTCTTGAATTTTTGGGATTCTTTTGTTCTAATGATAATAATACTGATGATGTCATTATTATTATTGATATTTTAATTATTGTAATATTATTAGAATACTAATAGCAATAAGAAATAAAAAGGGATCTTTCCAAAAATCAAGAAAAAGGGTAAACAGGGCAAATAAGTGACTCCTTCATAAGTACTTGTGGAACTATCATCTCAAAGGGCTAAAATGCCCATACAAAAAAGAGAA